TGTGCACATGACTTTGTCTCTTCTTTACCTCCCAACGGTCAACTCTCTGAACAACCACATGCTCTCTATCAATCAAATCCCTAAAAGCATGGGATATTGATATTTTGTTACAAAGAAAATTCTGCTTTGTTCGCTGGGTAATAGGATTTATTGATAAATTCCATCCATCATCTTCTCCGGCGCTACCTCCGATGGACTCCAACAAAATTTCGAGTCGAGGTTTCGACTCCGACCAAATCAGGATGTAAAACTTGAGGCCATTTTGTGAAATTGCTACTTCTTTCGGAGTACTTTTCCCTTTATTTGCAATCAGAATTCTGGCCCACTTCATGTGGTTCTCGAGCTTTATTTCTCCTCCGTAGCCAATCATCTCCCACACACTTCTCCAATTTCCTGGAAATTTTGTGCAACCACAATAGTAGTGGTATTCCAACAACTCTAATTCAGGTTTCCTTTGAACTTTTAGAGATTGATGTACACCCCTCTGTAGAGATCCACCATTTGATATTGAGTTTGTTGTTCTGCCAGTACCATTAATATTGTACGATCTAGTCCGCTGAACCTATTGTGGAATTCGAACAGAAATCTTCTATTATTTATCTCGTAGATATTTACCCCAAAGGTGTTTTGCCAGGTGCTTGAGGACCATCTCCTGATCTCACTCAATGTAGGTACCTCTTTGCTCTTATATTCCAAGCCCCCAACTAGACATCTCTTTAACATACCTGTCTCTTCAAATCTTGGAATAATAAAAATTTATATTACCCCATCATCTCTTCTAACCTCTGTTTCTCCCGTTTTCTTTAGACACCATTTATTGTCTTTAACTGCCTTAGCATAAGGGTAGCTGACATCAGTTAACCTGGGTGGGCCTGCCACATTCTATTTCTTTGGGCATTTAATAAACTCTTCAATTTTATGAGCAAAGTCACACCAACCAGCATTCCATGTTGTCTTTGGAATAAAAAATAGTGATCTCCCCCTCCCCCCACTAATTTAAAGAAAGAATGCCCATATATCTTCTGTGTTCATTTCTTTTCCTGGTACTAGAATGGTCTGCCCCTTTAACCGACATTTTTCATCTCCTGATTAAGTTCTCGTGGTCCTTCGAAGCTTCCTTCAAGGTGAAGCAAATCCATTCCATAGTGTTGTTGCTCATTTCTGTCCTTCTCATTAGTCTAAGGCTTCTCTCGACCCATTCATACCAGAGTGAGGTGTTCGTTGTCCATCTCGTGATGTCAATAGATTTGGATCCAGCATTGAAGTAAGTCCTATTCATATTCTCCGCAATAATCATTGTAGTAGTGAGGTAGGAAAACAAACAAAACTAACTCTGTATAGAGGAATTGAAGGAGAAAGGAAGATTGGTTAGAAATATTCCGACAGGATACCAAAATTTTGACGGTTGGAAAGAAAAAGAGGGAAGACTCTGATGGAACAAGTCCATCAGAATAGGTATCATGAGGTCCAGAAGGGACCTTAGGTGTTTTCCTCGAAACTTGTGTCTGGGAGCATTCTCTTTACATCAGGCTCGATTTTTTTGTTTTTGGGCTAAAATGGTGGCGATTCGTAACATATGGCTTTTTCAATACCAAATGAGAGAAATATTTCTTTTCTCTTAGTATCGTATGAGTTGTGGCACTGTCCAAAAGATACATATCTCCACTACTCATCTTGGATCCAACTGAAGACTGGAAAATATTATTTATCTTCATAAGCATAAAAATACATAATAAGAAGTATAGAATTTAACAAAAGAATATCTTAAGTACATAAACTTTAATTAAGACATTAAAGATACATAGAAACATTATTCATTTCATATCTCAATTATCAATCTAAGTTTTGATCCCCAAAAAGTTCTTAGCTTTCAGAAGAGTAATATCATTGATCCCATTAAAAGCATCATCTTTCAATGCTAAGTAGGGGTGGGTATTCGGTATTTCGATTCGATTTCATTTTTTTTTTTTCAGTTTTCAATTTTTGTAAATTGTGTACCAAATACCGAACCGAAATATTTCGGTTCGATTTAGTTTTTGTTAATTCGGTTCGGTTTTTAGTAATTCGATTCGGTTTTTTATTTCGGTTTGGTTTTTTAATGGGCCTGCTTAGTGGGTTTTTTAAAATTTTAAACTTTAAAAAATTTTTCAAGAAAAAATATTAAAAAAACTGAAAACATACCTGGCTGGTGGCTGCTGCTGTCGCGGCTGGTGGCTGGCTGCTGCTATCGCGACTGGCTGTTGCTGTCGCGGCTGGCGGCTGGCTGCTGCTGCTGGTGGACGGTGGCGCTGCTGCTTCCTGGTGGACGGCGGCGCTGCTGCTTCCCTGGTGGACGACGGCGCTGCTGCTCTTCTGGTGAACTGCGGCGCTGCTAAAGAGTGGTTGGAGCCTGGAGTAGAAGAGGTAGAGGAGAAAAAAAGAGGAAGAAGAGTTGAACTGCTAAAGAGGAGAGAATGAGGAGTGAGGAAGATGAAAGGAGAAAAATTGAAAAAATCTGTAGAAACTAGAAAGAGTAAAAAAGATAGGGTATTAGGGTTTCTTACTTTTTAAAAAAAATTATTTAATATTAATAAATATTAATTAATATAATATAATTTATAAATTATAATATAATATTTCGGTTTAAACCGAAATACCTAATCCTAAAGTAATATGTACCGAAAACCGAACCGAAATATAAAAAAATATAAAAAATTAAACCGAATACCGAACCAAAAATCGAAATACCGAACTGAAAATTTCGGTTCGATTCGGTTTTTCGGTTTTCTGGTGTTTATGTCCACCCTTAATGCTAAGTTTGCCTCAACATTGTCATCATATTTTGGAGAAGAATTTGCCTGAACATCATCTTTGAGAGTCAAATGTGACACTACCTGTACATTAGAAGAGGATGCACCACCTTTATTTTCTTTCTTTTTGAAGGAGTTCTGATATAGTGTGACAAAATATTCAGGTGCCCGACATTCATTTTTCCGTGACCTTTAAGGCCACAAGGATGACAGTGATCGTCCTTTTCTTTTGAAGGATTATTTTGAGAACCTATATTGTTCTCCCTTTTGTTATGACACCACCCCAACGATTATTATATCGTCTTTTGGGTTTTTCACGCCCACGCACATTATCATGGCCTCGATTATTTTGTCTTATTTCAAATTGGTTGTGTGCTTCAACCTCGTGTGCCTCACGTAATGGAGCACTTCCAACGGAACGGGCTTCATGATTTTTCATTAAAAGGTCATTATGTTGCTGGAAGGCATGAGTTTAATTTACAATATTTTTTAAAACCTTTTTCACTGTATTGCAGTTGTAATATCATATTGGATATTGGATACATGGTTAGTAGTTAGTGTCTTTTCCAACATGTCCTCATCTTTTATAACTTCCACATAATTTTAATTGGGAAGTAATTCGAAATACATTAGAGTTATACTCAATTACGATTTTATAATCTTAAAATCATAAGTGCATCCACTCATAACGAGCCTTTGGCAAAATGTTTGCCTTGCGATGGTCATACCTGCCTTTCAAACCTATCCACAATTCGAGGTATTCAACCTGCAGGCTTTAATCAAGATGCTGACGAAGGAAAATCGTAGTTTTTACTTTATCCTGATTTGATGTCGTATTTTCTTCGATTATACTATCACCAAGAGCGTTAGCGGTAAGGTGAATTTCAGTATCAAGTACCCATTACAAATAATTCTTTCCAGAAATGTCAAGTGCCACAAATTCAAGCTTTGAAAAATTCGACATGATGAAAACTATCATAAAATAATTTTGAGTTACTATTATGATGTTGTTTTGTTTATTATTAATGAAAATTAATACTTTAAATAATAAAGTAAAGGACAATTATAAAATACATTATATGCATGAGTATTAATGTTAGGACAAAAAAACTCATCAAGCATTGAAACAGTAAGAGTTAAAATATTTTCTACTTGTTTTAAGTATTTATTTTACTAGTTTCAATTCATATCAAAGTTTAGTAATAATTTTAAGTTGTATTTAATACAATATCATATTTTTTATGACACACAAAATGTATGACAAGAAAATACTTACGAGTATTCTAACTATCATGTTATCATATTGCTTAGTATTAAATTTAGAGTTATAAATTAGTAGCATAAATGACATAACAATATAAACTTGAAACATATTGATTATCATGCCTATTAAAGTATCATAATAATACCTAAAGCAAATTATATATCCAGTAATAAAAATACAGATCAAAGATTTATGCAATTACTATTAGAGATGTTATAAACACGTAAATGTATACCTGACTCTAAAAGAAAGTTGATTAACTTTTAGAAATTAATTTCGAATTAAGTAGGTCTCAATTAGTTAGAGACTCGTGCTGTAAAATAAAAGTCAAACACAACAATAATAAACAAGAAGGTAAGACAAATAAAAATATTAAGTAGAAGTATAGAGTATTCTTTGATCTCTTCAATTGTATTTCTTAAAGGTGAAAGGATATCCTTTTATAGGAGGTAAAATTCATCCGTTTACAATGTTAAAAAAAAATACGTTAGAAGTTCTTTAAATGTACATTCAATGGGACATTACGTTACGTGTATATTCAAAGAAACATCCACACAAACTTCAATGGATTTGTAACATCAATTTCCGGCATTTATAGTTTTTGTTTTAGAGAAGATAGTTTAACTGATTTTGGTATTAAAAACTCATAGCTATGTGATTTACCGTGGTTTTGTGTTGGGTCATGAAAGGGTCAGGCCCTTTTGGGCTGCGCAAAAGTTTTACTTAGACTAGTAAATAAATAAATACCACGTGTTCAATTAAACTAAATAACATAATCATAACATAACCATACAATTAATATGGAGTATTTAAGTCTGAAAATAAAGGAACAAATTTATACATTTCTGCCCCCTATCTAGGTGAAGGTTTGGACTTTTGGAGCAATACAAAAAGGAAGGAGAGCATATTTAACCCCCTCTATGATAGGATAGAAAATGCCGAACTGCTCAAAGTAAATTTCTAATCATGATTTCTTATTAAATACAATATATATTTGATCAACGTAAATTCCTACTCTTTTGAGTTGACCTTGATTGACACAAACAGATACGTAGTGTGCAATATGTTGTCAAAGTAGAATGTTGTGATACATTATATCACCAACTTGTTTTACACTTGAATCTCAGAGTTGACCAAGACATGGCTACTGAGAAATGGTGACAGGAGATTTCATGGATGCAGGGCACAACTCACCATAGAAATGAAACCCTTTTGCGAAGTGGTTGTCTCATACGACTTAGAATAACTCACATACCACTTAGAATAACTCACTACCTTGTATGGAATCCGAATTTATTAAGCTCTTCTTCCTCACTCTACACAATTTTCTTTCCATCTGAAACCAAAGATAGTAAGTAAACAAACATACATTTCTATGGTATGGACAACTTGCAGCTTTTCATTAATACTGCTTTTGTCCAAGACACTGACACTGGTATTAGCAGCTTGAAAGCCCGAGTGGTAAACCCGATCTCTAGTTGCTTTTGTGTTAACAAATGCCACTTCTTAGAGCCCTTTACCTCCTATGCTGTGTTTCATCTTCTAACCAGAAGCTTTCAGACTCAATAAGTCATCTATATCTTGTGAACACTGTAACCGGCATCCTCCGATGTCATGTTCTCCTTCCAGTTCTCAAATTCAGATCCACCAAATACTACTTGTTTGATACCGACATAACTGTACAGAAGATATTTTCAGGGTGAGTCTTGTAGCCGCAAACTATTAGAAACGCGAAAAAGAATGGCAAGGATACAACATAAAAAACCTTAGTATATATGATAAATTGAAATTATAAAAAAGAAGGTAGCGATTGGCAAAAATGGTTTGCATAGAATATGCGTTCCAGGCATATTCATAATGAGTCCATAAATAGCTTGATATGTTCCATGCATATTCATCATGAGTCTAAAAATAGCTTGATACATTCCATGCATATTCATCATGAGTCTAAAAATGGCTTGAGGTTGGGAGAAAAAGATTCTACTTCAAAATGAAAAAGGCACTGAAGCTTACTCGGAACTTATCTGTGACAAAGCATTAATCAATACATCCAACAGTAAAGGCTCACTAGTCCCAATGTCCACCCTATTGTGAGAAAAAGTCAGATTATAGGCAGCAACAAGCATCATTTCATATCTAAGGATAACAGATTCAGTTTTTACCATATGCGAGCCACGTTATCTTGAATCTCAACATCTCCAATATTATAGAATGTAGTAGGTGTTACATTTGCCCCCTGAACAGCATCATAATTTGGTCTTTTGTCCAAAGGAGATTGGGACAACTGCAAGGAAGAAGCTTTGGTTGAAACTACATATAATACACTTGTGTGTCCTGAAAGCTACCCGTTGAACTTTGTCAAGTAAGCATACTCCCATGTTAGAATGATAGGTTAAGCCTTTTTGTTTCCGCCATATAAAAGAACATAATTAGTACATAATTTGAGAAACTGTACTTGCATATTCATCGAATTACATCCACCAAGACGTCCAACAATGTGCCAAGACCGAATTGTCTGCAATAAAGTTGATGAAATCTAAGTCAACAAAATCCATATGCAAATGTGTCCAGAGTTATGAAAGAGTAAATCACTTACGTCACAAATCAAGGAGATGTCCTTCTCCAATGGGGCATTGTAGAACTCAAACCATATAAAGGTGTTTGAATAATCAAATCTGAATAAGAAGTAAACAGAAGCTGTTAAGAGTTTCACTCCTGAAAGGATCTACCAGCAAAAGTAAATTAAGCAAGACACTCTTTCTATGGCGTGCAGAATACTTGTCAGATAATTATCCTTCAGTCTGGATTGTGGGCAAAAGTAACTCTAATGAGATAATAGGATTAAAGACATCGGATTAGAACAGAACATTGCTAGAACTAACACTTTCTGTTAAATTGCCGACACAAAGTTGCTGAGGGGAAAGTGGAATCTAGAAGAAGAATATGTCCTTGTTGTGGACCAGGCATTTTCACCACAAAAGAAAGGATCAAGCTTTTTGAGTCGAGAGAAGGTTCAATACTCTATCCTTGTAAATACAATATACATTGGGAAGAAAATAAAACTTGTGATTTTTCTCTCAAACAGGCATTTCTTATACTTGACAAACAAAATTTCAAATATCAGGCTATATCAGCAAAGGGATGTACCAGCCTATAGCCATCTAATGTTGAATAAGAAACCCTTCTCTGAAATTCAATTGGAATTGAACTGACTGCAGTTCCAAAGAATGTCAGGCACAACCTATGAAGTGCTAATATCAAATCTATGTCTGCTTACTAGTTCTTAACGACACATATGACACAAATAGAACATGGTGTCATGAAAATATTACAATTTAATAACAGGACAGAAAATGCACCAAGTGCTCCTGAATTTGATAATTTATGAACCAATCTCATACATTGAGAAGGTAGAGGTGAGTTGTTTCCTGTAATGAAAAAGTATTGTGGATTGTATTTGCTATATGAAAGTGCAGTAATATACTTACTTGTTGAATTCGACTGTCATGGGTGTTGGTGAACCTGTCTTTGTATGTACAATTTTATTCCTTTTCTTTCTCAATCTCTCCTCCAACTAATAACAAAGTAAGTAGGGCTAAGTAAAAACAATCCCAATTCATACAAATATAAATTAACAAAAAATATACTAACCCTTGACTTAGCCTTATCGGGATCATCAAGACAGGTGCCAAGAATATCAGCAAGTTCAGGATCTTTGTCATAATTCTTCTCATCATCTTCTCTACCGCCAACCCCATCAGCGTCGTTGTTATTTTCTTCTTCTTCAAATAAGGTTAGGAAATCTGTGGTTTTCGCCATTTGATTAGGAAGAAAATGAAAACGGGAACGAATGGGAGAGCTTAGAAATGACTGCCGTTGAGGTGAAACCCTGCTCCGTGGCACCTGGAAAAGAAATGCAGGGTGCTGCAATGTAAACATCTGCAAACACAATTGTTCAGCATTAGAGTTAACTCAAATCAACACAAATATATGGAGGATTCGTTCAGAATAGGTATAGATAGAGAGAAGAAGCAAAAACACACACTTCAAGCTCTTACAAAACCCTTATCCTTGGCTAGCACTAAACCCTTTTTTTAGTGAATAAAAATATTTTTTATTTATATTTGGTCTAAAAATGGGTTTATTATTAATATTTTATTCAAAAAATATTTTTGTTGTTACTAATTTGATCCAAAAATATCTATATTGTTATTAAATGGGTCATTAATGGTTATTCCCAAATAAATATTTTTTAACACGTGGTTTCTGAAAAAAATATTAATTTTAAATAACCATATACTTGTTTCCTTTGTTTGAGATTACTTTTAACTAAGAAAAATGTAAGAAATTATTTTTTAATCATATTTTATTAATTGAAATAGAATAATTATATTTTTTTTCTACTATAGTAGAAAAGGATAGTTCAACATGCTTGCTTCATTGTTTAGGGGCATTTGTCTTTTTAATTTTCTCTAATGGCTAGGTGTCATCTTGTTGCTTAATCAATTTTGGCCCTTTCAATTTTCTATTGCAACATGTCTTCTAATGCGGATATGAATGTGTGAATGTGTGACTCTATGTCTTCCTTCTATTCTCCTCTACTAATATCACTATTTTCACATCAAAGTTCAGCATTTACCAGGTAAGATTTAGCATGTTTCAATTAAGTTTGTTTTTTCCGTCATTTTTCTTTTTTTAAAGTTAAAGTTTCAAATTTGATTTGGCTGTATGAATGTTCCTTTATTTTCCTATTTGAGATTCTTATTGATGTTGGATTATCCTTTTGGTTGGGTGATTAAGTTTGATTTAGATATGTAAATATGCCAAATTTGATTTAAGGTATGTGAAACTTTTTTTCGTCATCTTCCTTTTCATCAATGTTGAAGTTCCCAAATTTCATATGGGTATGTGAATATTCCCTTATTTTTCCTTTTGGAATTGTTATTGATGTTGAATTATCCTTTTGATTGAGTGATTAAGTTTGATTTAGGTAATCCCTATAATTTTAATCCATTTGGGTGATTATGATTTCCGTTTTGTATTTTGAATTCCCGTTTCAAATTTTTGGTTGTCTTCTTCCTTCATGTATGAAAAATCCATGTATTTTCACTTGCAGTAATTTTTGGTTCTCTTTTGTCATATGTAGTATAGTTTGGTCTTCCAATTCAAATTTCTGGTTGTCTTCCTCTGTTCATGTATGAAAAAACCATAAATTTTCACATATAATAAATTTTGGTTGCCTTTTGTCAGATGTAATATTAGTTTGGTCTTCCAATTTATTTTGAGGTTTATGATAGTTTAATTTTCTCTCCTCGACTATTGTAAGTGTAACTCTTTAAGATCCTCCACAAACAAACGGCTTAGATTAAGGTTCTTTTCCCTAAATCTTTATATTTATTCAGTTAATATTATACTTCTAATTTACTACAAATCTGCAGTGTGTAAAACGTGTTTTTGTTCTTGAATTCATTGTTGCAGAGACCCTTTTAAGCTCAAAGGTCTTTTCTGGTTTTCTGGTAATGGTATGAGCTTTTTCTTATTATGGTTTAAGTTCTTGATTTGACTTGATGTGGGATTTAATTTTCATACTGTTTAGTTCTATGTAGTTGGCGAGTTGGTAATTTGTTTTGTGGTTTAATATTAGGGTTACTCTGTTGATTTTGAGTTTAAAGATTCAAACTTTGTGCTTTTTTGTTCTGTTTTCAGTTGTTTTAGTGTATTGTTTTTGTTTAGTTGAGCTGGTAAGTGAATTTTTTGCAATAAATATTTTCATCAATAGTAACTAAAAAACTATACAAGCATACTACAAAAATAATTGGACAGTTGAATCCAAAACAAACAATAACTGAGAAGTCAATACAAGAATAAAAGACACAACAAAAGAGCTAGCTCAAAGAAAATAATTCAGCACCACAAACTAACAGAAGATGATAAAAGCAGAATTATATTGATAGATTGTGCTATAAACGAGAATACAATTGGATAGATATGATAATAATCGGGATGATGTACAAACAGCCAAAGCTTATACTCTATTGGTATCTGTTAGGGTCTTCTATATGGTAGGCATGGATTCAATTCAAACTACACCTTATACCGTATACCTTTCACAATTCCTCCATGATTAGGGTTCTTCTACATGATAGGCAAAACTGTTTTCAAGTAGTTTTTTTGTTTTGCTTCTAAAAACTACATGTTTTTAGTAGTCGAGCCAATACTACAATTTTGTCACCTTCTGAAGGGACTAGCCTCTTTCGTGTGACAATCCTTAGATTGAAAAGTGAGAGAATGAACTTTATGTGTCCTACATCCTCATGACTAACCATTTCCCTCATCTTTGCATTTCTTGATTAGTCACTTAAGCACATGTCCATCTTGTTTGTCCTCATATCTCTCTCTATAAATGCCTCTGTTATATTTTTCTTTTCCGTGGATTAATTAACTTATTTTTGGTTGTGTGAGATTGATTATCTCTTTCAATATTTTGAACCTAAATCATAAGATTTGTTATTTGGTATGATTGTATGGTTCCAGATTTGTATTGATCCGTGTTGTTAAATCTGTTTAAATGTTTATCTGAAAAAAATATGATGTCGCTAGACTTTGATTTTAGTAGCCAAATTATCAAGTTCCTTTTTAGTTTTGTGTTTTGGTCAAATATGTATAGAAGCTAGCTTTACAAATTATCACATTTCTGATAATATATAAATGCTAATAAAAAACTAGGTGACCAGAGATGGAACCCAAAAAAGAAAGGTCTTCTTAGCTAAACAACTAGGAAACGAAGATGAACTAAAAAGGCGTAGTCGAACTTATAGTTCAATTCTGTCACCTTCTTAAGGAACTAACCTCTTTCCCGTGGACTTGAGATCGCCCATGATTCTGGGGTAATGCAACCTCCGTTTCCTGCGATCAGGCAGAGCTTCATTGGTTACGACTTACAGGTTCTAAGGAAAGACAGAATGCATCAAAGACTGCTGCTATAAACCAAGAGCCAAGTGATGAGAAATATTTAGATGGCTAGACACAGGCAGCAGTTTAATACCCATCAATCTTATTCCATGAATCATGAACTACAATAAAAATCCTATGCAAATTAAAGAGTTGATATACATCCTAGAAGGATCGAGCTTGTGTGATATATTTGTAACCTAGCATGTCGTAAACAACTTAAGGCTTCGTGTACACCACCTCCTTCTTGGACTCCACTTATAGGATTACATTTTCTATGTTGTTGCATGTCATGGAGTAGTAAATACTAATTATAAATTCACTATACAACCAGAGGACTTTCCGAAACTATAGAATCAACTATAAATAATAAAAAAATAGAAAATATTAAATTTTGTCCTATATTGTCATGACTAACCATTTATCTCATCTTGTATTTCTTGATCAGTCGCTGAAGCATTTATCGATCTTGTTCGTCCTCATATCTCTCTCTATATGCCTTTGCAATGTTTTTCTTTTCCATTGATCGATTGACTTATTTTTAACTGTGTGAGATTGATTATCTTTTAAATATCTTGAACCTAAATCATAAGATTTGTTATATTTGCCATCATTGTATGGTTCCTGATTTGTATTGACCCATGTTCTCAATTCTGTTTAAATATTTATATGAAAAATATGACGTCGTTAGACTTCGATTTTAGTAGCTAGCTTGTCAAGTTCCTTCTAAGTTTTGTGTATTTGTCGAATTTGTATAGAAAATGAAATCGACAAAACTTGAATCGCTTTTTATCTCAGGTCCAGCAGAGATTGTATTGTCTTTAGATGTTCTGTTCATCTGGTCATGAAAGTTGAAAGCACATATCCATAGTTTTCGTGTTCTATTTTGAATTTCTGTTTCACATTTTTGTTCTGCTTTCTCAAATGTAGTAACCTTTCTTTATCAGAATTTCTATTGTTATCTAGAAAAAGAGTGTATTGAAACCAATTGTTGTGCTCTTTCTCTGTTGATACCTCTTTACATGGAATGATTTAATAATAAAGTGTTCCGTGAAACATAAAATATGAAGACAAGTAGAAAGAGCAAGATGAAGAGACTTACTTGTACTTTCGGCATCCTTTATAAAACTTTAGACATTCATCCCTCAATGTTTCAATATCTTTCTCAAAAACTTGGATCTATTCAGCCAAGTACAAACATAAGGACTCACACTTCTGATCCGAGAAAAGTAAGAATAGATTAGCATATTTCTTAGCCATGGAAAGGGCTTCCAAACTTCTGTTGCAGAAGACACATCAAACTGCTACTATTACTTCTATAGTATGCACGACTCATTTTACTTAAAGGTGCTCACGTGCTATTTTTCACATAGAATCCAATCCAATCTATCCCGTGTATAATACATTGCATTTGAACTTTGGACAATCTTTTTTCATGCTGGTAACAAGGAAAACAAGTGTGCTATAAGTGTAACAAATGTTATTTGATAGGTACAAATTGTAAAAAATACTAAATTCGTTTTATTATTATTTTTGCATGCAGGATGAAGTTAACAGTATGCAGTTATTACAATTGACTTATCGGTTATTTTTTTATCAATTTTTTATTGTTATCGATTCGATTATCGATTTAACCGTTAATATTTGACATAATTTCTTTTTATGGAAAATCACTTAAAAATAAGGTGCCAAAATAAATCATGCACATGAGTTCACATGTTCATGCTCAAACACAAACACTTTTACATTGTATTTTTGAACCAAGTTTTTGAGAAAACAAAAAAAAAAGAGTAGAAAATCAAATGCTAAGTCAATGACTTTATATACAAAATGGTATAAATATAATTATTAATTTACTATCGGGGTATCGGTTAACCTGTTAAGAAAAAACTCCAAACTGTTAAGAACCTATAACCCAATAACAAAAAAAAAATTAAAACTGTTATGAAAACTGCTAAATCAATCACCCAATACTGACAAATCAATAACATTTTTTTTGTTCGAGTTGTCGATTTCGGTTCAGTTTTGGACAAGCCTAGTGGTGTGTTTGTACCTTTTGATGCTGCTGATATAATTTTGGTGATGAGTTTGTTTATGGATGTCAAAATTTATTGTGGATCTTTCTAATTTTTGTGAGAATGGTGC